AGCTGCCTACTACAACCATAGACTGACCTGATGACTACTGGAGCAGTTGGGAGTTCAGGGCCTTGTTCAAGGGCACCACAATGGTGCTAATAAGGGCGGGGCAAGTGTGGCAGCATCACCTGACCCACACAGATTCAATCCTGTCGGTTCAGGGATTGAACCGGCGACCTTCCTGTCAGAAGCTTGCTTTGCTCTAAATTCTACATGCCACCTATCTTTTTGAACACATGCAGAAGACCTGGGTAAGGATTTTTGTTATAGAAAACGTCACTCCAGACATGCTTGCATGAGGTGTATCATTATCACCTACATACCTGCCAAAAGATTAATTCTCCACAGACACAGTTAGAACTAGAAGTGATTATTAGTCAAGAAAATAAATGTTGAATCATTTGTGACAGTTACAGTCAGACTGATCAGGAATCGATCCTTCCTCTGTCAAGGTTGGGTAAAATGAGCCTTATTAAAATAAAAATTTTGGTAAAGCTTCTACAATCTTGGTGCACAAGACTGCAGTGCTATTTTGCTTTGTGATGTATTAAGGGTTTAAAAATCCATATAAAATAAATAAATAAAGGGTACAAGAGGCCATGTGTCAGGAAACACAAGTCTTCCGAGCCATCTGAACAAACATTTGCCGGCTGTGGGGTCTCTCTCGTTCACCCTGTGACTGCGATGTCTGTGTGTCTTCAGCTGTCAACATGTAAAAAAAATAAATACTGACATATGAAAATTCAGTGCATATGCTGTAAGACCATCTTTTGACTACCACACTATTTCTTATGTAAGCGTCTAATTCAGTGTTAAGTTTAATAGATCACCTAGGCTGTCTGGGCTGAGGTTAGATTAACATTTAGTATCACAGTAAAATATTGCATTTACTGCCAATTGTAACAGATCTTTAAACTTAACTTAACAAAACAACCATGAATCATTAAGTGTAGCAAAGCATTTAGTCTAAAAACTTTCATTTTAATTAGGCTATGTCAAATTGACAGAATACCTGCATGCGTTCTCTCCAGGTACTCTCCTCCCACAGTCCAAAGACATGCAGCTTAGGTTGACTGGTGACTCTAAATTGCCTATAGGAGTGAATGTGTGGCTGCGTGGTTGTTCGTCTACATGTCAGCCCTGTGATAGACTGGCAACCTGTCCAGAGAGTACACTTTCTCCCAGTGTCAGCTGGGATTGGCTCCAGCACAAGTTGACAGAGTTTGAATGTACTGAGAAATTTCATGTTAAATAAGAAAATTCAACAATAGAGGAAATGTCTTTGTACCATCTGACATGTACTATACACTTATACAGCACCAAAGTTCAAACTCACAGGAGCATAGTTAAATACAATAATGACAAGGTAGGTTGTAGTAGCATGAGCTAATTCTTGATGCTGACAATAGTAGCTTCATATACTTGTACTAGTTATTTACCCATTTCTCACAATTGTCACTGCTCAGCTGCTGGAAACATTAGCAAACTCAGAATTAGGATTACTTTATGAAAGAGCATACCAGGTTTGCAAGTATAATATTATTAATTTAACTGACAACAAGAGATCTAATATCCACACTATACAACACTATAACTTGCATTACTTTACATTGTCTTAAAGATTTATGTGCATTCAAACTTAATAGAAAAAAATGCTAAATTAACTATGTTGTTTTTATATCAAAACCTTAAACTGGAGGGTGGTAGTACATTTTTCAAAAGTGCTTTATAATGTTCT